CCGCCAAGCACAGCAACCCTACCTGCCCCCGCCAGAAACACAGTTCAAAGGTTAGCGGAAGCACTGCGTTTAATAGGGACCAGGCTGGCGGCCGGGGAAATCAGGTCCTTCAAGAGTCACCGGTTAATAAGCCATGCCCCAGATATAAGCTCCTGGAGGCGGAAAACGGCCCGGGGAACTGGCACCTACACCCCCATGGCCTCCGAAAGTGGGTTAACTAGGGGGCGTCTCAGCCACCTGGTGTCACTGCGCTCCCTATTTGTGAGACTGGACCATTGCCCTGGCCCCACCCGGTTCACTATCCCTGGCTCCTCCCCCCGCCCTTACATTTAACCCTCTCCTGGCTGGAGTGGCGGAAGCAGAGGGCAGAGGAGCGAGGCGGCGGAAGGTTAGTGCAGAGCGCGGAGGCCGCAGTCGGCGGGCGCGGTCAGCGGGCGGCACCCGGTGGTGAAGCGGCCGCCACCACTTTGCAGAAACGCACCCTCTGGAAGTCGGCGATCTCTGCCGTCTCTTGGCCCTCGGGGTCCGCCTCTGCGAAGAGAAGGGGCGGTCATCTGAGGGCAACAGTAACCCCCCCCCCCCCCCCGCCGGCCCCCGGACACCCTAGCCCCGCCTCTCTACCCCACCAAGCCTGGCTGCCACCCACCCTGCGTTAAGCGGTTTACGAGTCTCAGGCTCCTTTAATCCTCTGGGAGGATCTACGCAGACACCCCCCCCTCCCCGCCAACCCCGCAACAGAACCCTGTTTACAATCGAATACATAATTTAATACAGGGAGATCGCAGTCACGTGACCCAAAGACAAAGCTCTCCCGGTACCCCGACCTCAGCCGCCATCCTAACCTCTGTCCTCTCCCATCCCAGTCTCACCCCACGAACATAAGCCAACCTCTAGCAAGCCTGCCCTACAGGATCTACCTCCACTTCCCTTGCCCACCTTCTGAGTCCTAACCAGACCTTCCTTGGCTATGCCCCCAAGTCCTAACCCCCTACTCCTTGGGGAGGTCGGAGGTCCACAACCCGGCTTCCGCCTGGCGGAGGTGGAGACTGGGTTCGCCTGTTGCTCCAGGTCCGCTAGACGCCACAGTTTTTACCCCGATATTTTATGTATTTCTATTCTAATTTACCCCATTTACTAATTTACACCTCAAAACTGTAATCACGCCCACGGCTAGATCCATTACTCCTCCCCGGTTCTTCATTTTTGACTGATTTGTATTTCAAATCCTGCTCTAAGCTCCTCCCTATCAATTTAACCCACCCCCTTGTTTCTAGATTACAGAACCCCTGGGGGTAGCCCTCTACCTCCTAATCCCACCCTGGCTCCACCCCCTCACCCCCAAACGCCTCTGGGAAGTCCTCCCTGTAGCTCCACCCCCTTGGCCCTGGATTCGTTCCCACCCAGCAGCCTAGCCCCGCCCCTCCTCACCCCATCCCCGGACCAGCAGCTACCCCACACCCATAATGGAGACATATCCACTCCATTATACTGCCCCCAAACCGTCCTCCCCTCAACCCAAGAGGAAGAGGAAGGAAGGCCACCTCCACCACCCCAGCTACTCCCCCAACCTGGAGCTGCCTCAGACCCCTCCTCTTCAGCTTTCTGGGTTCCTGGGGCGCTGGGCCCACTCTCCAAGGAGGAAGGGGCTGGCTGGTCACCTCCTGGGGAAGGGGGAGGCCCAGTCAAGCCCATTCCCCTCCAAATACCCACCTCCCCCCTCAAGACAGAAGGCTCTGAGGGAGTGAGAGGAGGTTTAAGGACACACGTGGGAAGTGTCATTTGAGGAAGCGATCTCTTTATTGGGGAGGGCGCTCTGAATGGCTCAGGGCAGGGCAGGATCTGGGGGTGAGCCTTCTAGGGACAGGCATGGGCCGTCCTCCCTAGCCACCAGGGCACAGAGGGTCCCCGGGCCCCGAGGGTCCCCATGCACCCCTTGAGCGCACACACAAGCAGCCAGCTTCATGCATTTTCAAACGGCCAGGCCTCACCCGGAGAGACAGCATCTGCTGGGTGGGCAGTCCGGGGAGAATTCAGCTCCATCTCTTCACCCCAGTTGGACACAGGCTGATGGCCCCCGGGAGGCGAGAAGGGGCTGGAAGGCGTGACGGGGGCCTGGGGGAGCGGCAGGGGCTCTTCCGGCCTGGCGGGCTCTTCGTCACCGTGTTCCCTGGTGGGGCTCCCGCTGGGGCTCCCGCTGGGCTCAGCCTCCTCGCGTTGGTGATCTCCAGCTGGCTCTTCTTCCTCATCAGCCTCCTCTTCTTCCTCTATCTCCTCGTCATCCTCACTCACGTCTTCCCACTCCTCATCCTCCCCGTCCTCCCCCTCATCCTCGCCCTCGCCCTCCTCGCCCTCATCCTCAGGAGGCCGGTGGGCAGGGGCCAGGGTCTCAGGCAGCTGTGAGGAACACAAGGCAGGTCAGGGAGAGGCTGCAGGCCCCAGGCACCCCCACGCCGTGCTGCCTGCCAGGAGCTGACAGCCTGCCCTACCTGCGTGGGCGCCTCCTTGGGGGGAGCAGGTTGCGGGGGCTCAGGAGCTGCGGACACGGCCTCCTTCGTCTCCCAGCGGTCATCGTGGTCACTGGAGGGGACAGAAGAAAGGAATAAAGCCCAGATGGACAGGAAGAAGGGGCTTCCCACCTCAGGCTCCTCCCCAGACACAGAGCTGCAAAATTCAACAGGTGGAGAGAGCGGGTCTTCGGGATTTCCAGACAAGGAGCCAGCAGGCTAGAGCACCGAGGAGGAAATAGGGCGTGTGTCCCGGGTGTCGGAGGTGGCCAGGTAGAGAGGGGCCAGGTGGGCAGAAGAGATGGGTGGGAGGGGTGGAGGGGACAGATGAGGGTAAAGCAATAGCCAGGCCCCAACGCCCCCAAAACCAAGTGCCTGACCCACAGGGAGACAAGTGCCTGAGACAGATAGGGAAAGAAAGGACAGAAATATCCCCCAAACACACAAGCCAGAAAACAACCAGGGACAGAGCCACACAGTCCCGCTGGGCTGTGCATGTCCAAGGGGAAGGGGGCCCCCACCTGTAGGCACGGGAGGCTGCCTTAGGCTGGGGTCGGCTGCTCTTCTTCTTTCTGCGGCTGACCTCAGTTTTGTGCTGGGACAGGAACTCCCTGAAAGTGGGCGGCTTGGGGGGCCGGGCCCAAGCCTGGTCATCTGCTACAAAACCCAGGGGAAGTCGGGGGTGAAGGACACAGTACAAGCTACCACTATCCCACCCTGACCCAACACCCCGGCCCAGCCAGCTGCCTCACCCCACCCAAGAACTCCCACTCACCATAGCGGTGGGATGGTTCTGGGGCCACAGCTGGGCCATCCTTGAACCTGGGGAAAGAGAAAGGGGTGAGCAGGCAGCTGGTGACACAGAGAGAACAGATAGGGCAGGAAGAGTCGCCGGGGGAGGTGGGGGCCACGGTTAGAAACCAAGATCACAGATGGCAAGGTCCTCAACCCGAATGGGGAAGTGTCAGTGATTAAAGCACAGGGTCAGGTGAAAGACAAGAGGCAAATGTGACACAGCAGTACAAACGCAGAAAGAAAAATGATCAGCGTTTGACAGCAATTCCCCACCTCAACAAAATGTGAGTACAATATCCCCAGCTTCCTGTCCAGCCGCATCTCCCACCACTCTCTCTCACCTCCCGAGCTTAGCGAGTTCTCCTACCACATAGAGCTCCTGCCTCATGGCCTTTGCACGTGCTACTCCTGGGGCTTGCTTTCTCCGATCTCTCCGGGGCCCGCTCCATTACCTCCTTCAGGCCTCAGCTCAGAGGCCTTCCTAAACTTTCCAATCACATATTATTACATATATTGTGTTGCATGCTAAGTTGCTTCAGTCATGTCCAATTCTTTGTGACCCTATGGACTGTAGCCCACCACGCTCCTCTATCCACGGGATTCTCCAGACAAGAATACTGGAGTGGGTTGCCATGCCCTCCTCCAAGGGATCTTCCTGACCCAGGGATTGAATAATCATCTCTTACGTCTCCTGCATTGACAGGAGGGTTCTTTACCACTAGCCGCCTGGGAAGCCCAATTATATACATTATTTAGGTCTAAAACAGTAGCCTCCAACCCTCTCCACACTCCGCTTCATTATTCTTCAGTGTCTGACATTAGCTCTATTCACTGCACAATCTGCTCTATTCAATGCAAATGTGAGACTTGCTGCAGGCTGCTGTGGGGACGAAAGAGGAAAATAATTACTTTCTCAGTCTTAAGCCTAAGAACATCTCCGCAAAAGCTCACCTGCCTCCCCCCTTAGAAAGATCAGCTACAGTATCTGTGCAAAATGTTTCTCATGCTGGCAAAGGCTTAGCTCACAATCCAAAAATAAATGCTCCGACCTCCAGGCACACAGACAAGATCCTCTTTCTTTATCCAGCGCTGTGGCAAAGGATAGAGGATGATGTAAAAACGACAGCTGTCCATCTTAAGACTGCTGTTCAGTAGCTCTTCCAGAATCTTCTCCACCTTTGCTATGGCAGTTAGCCCTCCTGTGGATGATGCCTTCGCTTTGAGTAATGGGATGTTTCCTGGGACCCAAAAGGCGACAGAGTCAGACCTGAGAATAATAATGCCACAGGGATAAGGTGCTTGGGTAGGTGGCGGACATAGGTTAGAGGAATGAAGGGAGGATGCCAAGGGGTCATCGCTGTAATTCTTCATGCCCTCCTTGCATGGGAACTCACATCCGTACCCATGGCCACAGAGCCGCTGCAGCACTACCCACAAGAGTGGGCAGAGTTTAACTTCCTGCTGCAGCAAGGTGGGGTCTGCTGGCTAACAGAATGAGGATGTGTGTCACTGTCCCTCCTGCACATCTGCCAACACTATGGCCAGTGCTTCCCCCAGTAGCCCCTGCCCTCAGCACGAACCCCAGAATGCACACATCCCGGGTGGAAGTGAGTTCAACCCCAGCGGGACCCACAGCTTCCAGTCCAACCTGAATCAGCCCAACTTAGAAGACCCGTAAACACGAGAGAAAGAAATGTTTCCGGACTTCCCTGGCCATCCAGTGGTTAAGAATCCACCTTCCAGGGCAGAGGATTTGGGTTCAATCCCTGGTCGGGCAACTAAGATTAAGATCTACAAGCCTTGGAGCAACTAAGCCAGCACGCCACAAGAACTGAGCCCAGGCACCCTGGAGCCTGCGGGTCACAATGAAGAGGCTGCACACCATAACTAAGTCCCAACGCAGCCAATACATAAATAAATAAATGGTTGTAAAAAAAGTATAGCTGAGTCCTTTTGCTGTTCACCTGAAATTACCACATTTGTTGTTATATTGGCTATACCCCAATACAAAATGCTTTTGATGTTTAAAAAAAAAAAAGGAAGAAGAAACGCTTTTCTGTGCCCCTGAGATGGTGGTGGTCACGCACTGTTACCTAGCTCCTGCTAACTGATACACAGGATGAGAAACCGAGAGAGGCCAAGGAGTCAGAAGTCAGAGCCAAGGCCGAGGAGCCCCAGAGGGGCGGGCAGGGCGGAGACTCACATGCCATCCGTCTTCTCGGCATCCCACTCCCGCCGCCACTGGCCGGTGGGCTTGCGGTGCCTCTGCAGGCGCTCCTGGTCAATCTTCTCCCGCTCCTGCTTCCAGCGCAGGTACTCCGACCGCTCTCGGCCCGTCATGGAGAGCGTCATGTCCCCGGTGCCGCCCAGGCCGGCCCGGCGGCCCTGCCCCCAACAGATGGGCAATCAGGGCTCCACCCACCTCTCTCCCCGCTGCACCCCCTCCATGAGACCTCCAGAGCTCCTAGTAGAGCCCCTGGCTCAAGGTCACAGAAGGAGGTGGCAGGGTGGAGATCAAAGCAGTATCTGCTCACACGCCACCTCAGAGAGGCCACCCCAGACAGATCCTTCTCTATTCTCCTTGCCCTCACCTGGCTGGGCTGCAGCCATCTTCCCAACATTCAGCATTATCTGACATCTTATTACATGGCCACTGATTTAGCCCCACCACCTAAAACAGCACCTGGCCCCGGGCAGGTACCCAGTAAACATCAGTAATGTTAGTAAGGAGGAAAAGCACACCAACACACATCATAAAGCTACGAACAGAAAGCAGTATGGCCCTGGGGCACACATCAACTGGAGGGAAGCCTGAGCGGTAGAGCTGCAGTCTCTCCCTGCTCTGTGCCCGGCGTTCGACACACTTCCCTCCGCGTGGAACCCAGAGACTGGCTGCTGGGCGGTACTCGTGGCCAGGCTGCCCACACCCACCTGCCGCTCCTGCTCAAGGCCGTAGCGCACCCGCTCGAAGTCAGGGCCCCCCCAGTTGCGCCCATGCCGGCGGCTGCCTTCCCGGCGGTCCCGCTCAGGCTCCTCTAGGGGCCCACTGCGTCGCCGGGGATCGTCCAGGAAGTTCCGCACCGGGTTGGGCTCCAGCACACCTTCCTGCAGGCATGTGGAGTGTTAAGAGCACTCCCCCGACCCAGCGGCTCCGCCCCGCCGCCAGGGGGCACCCGTGGCACTGACCCGCTGGTTGCGCTCATACTCCGCAATCTTCTCCATCTCCTCGTTCATCTTCTCAATGTTCTGCTTCCGCCGCTCCTCCCACTCCTTGTTTCGGGGAAGAGAGAACAGAGAGCGAGCGAGCGAGCCTCAGAAAGAGCCACTCAATCCAAGCGTTTGTCACCATCTGAGGCTCTCTCCTTAGACCTGTTATGCAAGGCAGCCTCTGGCTGGCACCTGGACACTGGCTTTCTGCACGTCCTGTCAACAGTTAACCAGTAAGCGGAGCTCCACATGCCTAGACTTTTTCTGCATTACAGTGTATGACGAACACCCAATTTCCTTCTAGGGTCTGGAATCTGGGTGTGTACTGTAGGCAGAGGGGACCTATGTGACCTGCCTCGGATAAGAAGCCTGGGCACTAGCTCTCTAATGAGTCCCCAGTAGATGAACTTTGACATATGTTGTCAATGAAGAACAATTAAGTGCAGCCTACGTGTCCTTGGGCTTCCCCGGTAAGCTCGGTGGTGAAGAATCTGCCTGCCAATGCAGGAGACACAGATTTGATCCCTGGGTGGGGAAGATCCCCTGGAGTAGGAAATGGCAACCCACTCCAGTATTCTTGCCTGGAAAATCCCATGGACAGAGGAGCCTGGCCGGCTACAGCCCACGGGGTTGCAGAGTCGGACACAACTTAGTGACTAAACAATTTGTGTCTCCACTGGACGCGGACTCTTGGAAGCTAGCGCCCGGTATCCTCCCGGCTCTGGCTCATGGGCTCTTTCCCTTTACTGATTTTGCTCTGTATTCTTTCCCTGTAATAAATCTCAGTTGTTAATCCTTCTGGCAAAATACTGAGCCTGGGAGAGGGGTTGGGGGACCCCTGCGATGGCTGCCACAGTAAAAACTTGACAGATGGCCAGGTGGCCCCCACAATTCATTCTCCTCCCTTTCCTGGGTAACAATCCCCGCCCCGCCCAGAGTGACAGAATTTTAAATGAGCAGGTGCCCAAGATGCTGGGAACATTTGCATTTCCAAGACTCAGCATACAAGAGAGAAATAAACTTTCATTTGATTAACGCCATGGCACTTTGGGTTCTTTCTAAACATCCTTAAGAAACATACATTGAGCGCTTAATCTGAGGGTTTCTATGCCTGATGTCACACGATGCTTATGAAAACCCTGATTTTCATTGCCGTTTAAGAGTGAGAACCTGGAATCTCCCAGAGGGGAAGTGAGCTGCCCAAGGACAGGGAACTCATAGAAAGTTGTCCCCTAAGCCACCAGGCTGGGCAACTTTCCCACTCTGCTAATCCGTGTGGTGGGGTGCTGAGAGCAGCTACGGTAAGAACCTCACCACTCCCTACCAACTAATTCAGGGAATGACACAGAGCGAGAACATGTACGCACGCGCACACTAATGACGAAAACACGGGCGCATGCGCGCTGGGCAGAACCGACCAGATAGCACCAGAAAGGGACAAAGGGAAGGGAAGGCAGATGCCACAAGCACCCAGCAGAGCGCAAAACAGGAGACAGAGAGACAGGGAGAGCACCCACAGCGCTGGTCTGGGGGAGAGAGGAAGAAAGGGAAGGGGTGAAAAAGAGCCGGAGCGAGGGTCCAAAAAAGAAGAGAGACAGTGAAAGATGGATGAAGCAGAAAATCCATTTGAGAGAAACAGCAACAGGACAACACTGAGCCTCCCAACGCACTTCAGGCAGACTTCAGCCCCCTCTCGGCTCCTACCTTGGATTTGCGGTCGGCAGTCGAAGCATCGCCACCTCCAGAGAGATGAGGGGACCCCCTGCCCCGACCCCTCCGGCCGCGGCCCCCAGCACCTCCCCGAGGCTGCTCCCCGGGACTGTCTTCCCAGCTGCGGGATGTCCGGCCTATGCCTGCCCGGCCTCCGTGCTGAGGGGGGATCCGGCCTCCCTTACTGACCCCTGGAGGCCGAGGGGTCCCTGGAGACCTCCGGGAGGGACCCAGGTTCTTCTCCTGGAAAGGGGGTAGGGGGGAAAGGACAGTCACTGAGGCAGGGAGACCAGGACACCCCAGGCCCAGACGGCGGCTGCCAGGATGGAGGCCCCCACAGGCCTGGGGCAGCTGAGAAAGCTCTTAGGTCTCAACTCTCACCCCCTCCCAGTCCTCACGAGTTCCCACCCTGGAGTGGAGCTCACCATTTCCACTGCCACATTCTCCTTCTCCACTGAGCGGCCCTTCCGGGGAGCTGTCACTGCTACTCCCTCCAATTCAGCTTTTTTCCGGTCCTCCTCAATCTCCTAAGGGATCAGAGATAGCGGGTATCAGGGGTCCTGTGTACCAGCCAGATTTCGACAGTCCCCTGAATATCTCCAAGTCTGCCCCAGCGCAGACCTCTGTCTGGAGCTCTAGACGAGAAAGCTGGTCACTTCTACCCTCTAACCGCCCCAGGCTGTTCCCCTGCTCAGAGCCTCTGAGCCAGTGTCAAAGGCTCCCCCACAGCCAATGGGGCTCCACAGGGTGTGGTCTCATTACCATCTCATCCTCATTTCCCACGCCTCTCCTCTCCCTCACTGTGATCCTCTCACTGTGCCTGGGAACATACCAGGTTCAAACCTGCCTTAGGGCCTTTGCACCTGCTGTTCCCACTGCCAGGAATGCCCCTCCTCCATAGAGTCTCCAGTCCCTCACCTCCTGCAGGTCTCTGCTCAAAACTTCCCTCCTCAGGAAGGCCTTCCCTGACCAGCTCGCCTGCCATTCTCCACACGCCCCCACCCCGCCCACCCTGCCCCCTTCACGACATGACATTATGTCCATTTTGCTTCTTAGCTGGCTCCTCCCCATAACAGAATCTACTCAACGTCAGGGATATCTGTCTGTTTTGTTCACTGATGTATACCCCAAACCTGGAACACTGCCTGGCACACAACAGAGGCTCAATATCCTTTTTTTTTTTTTAATGAATGAATGCATGAAGAATGAATAAATGAAACCTACTCCTATCTCAGGGACAGCCCCACCACCTACTCTGTCACCTGTGACGGGGACCTGGGCCTCATCCTGGATCCTCTTCTCACCTCCTGCCACCGCCCATGTCACTGAGTCCCTCCCAACAGCCCTGCCCCAGGCCAAGGACCTCCTCTCCATACGTCCCTCTACCCCCTCGCCCCCCCCCCAAAGTCCCTGCCCCACTTTCCTCCTTGTCTCGAGTGTCCTCTCCTCCCATCTACCACCACAGAGCAACCAAAGGAGTCTTCCTACGTATCTATTCTGACCTGGCCCCACTTCCACTCAAAGCTCTCGATGGCTCCCCAGTGTCCTTAGGAAAAAGTCCAAACTCTTAGCCTTATGGCCTTCTGGGCCCTGCATGGCTGGGCCCCAGCTGGTCTCTCCAGGTCAATATCCTCCAACTGGCCCTCCAACTTTAAGCTCCAAGTTTTCACACAAACTGTCCCGTTGTGATGTGTGTTCTGCTCTCCTTTTCGACTAGCTGGGACTTCCCTGGTGGTCTAATGGTTAGGACTCCATGCTCCGCTTCCATGGGCCTGGGTTCAGTCCCTAGTCTGGAAACTAAGACCCCCCCCACAGGACATGCTGTGCAGCCAAAAAATAAAAGACTGGCTAACACCTACTCACCTTTCGGGTCTCAGAATCCCCTTCTCCAGGAAGTCCTCCTTAATATCCCCCAGGCTGGGTGAAGAGCCCCACCCGGCCTCTCACAGAAGCCTGCCCTCCTCCATCCCAGCGTGGCCCACTCTGGCTCATCACGGACTGAAGCCATGGCTGGGCCCCTACTGGCCTGTGAGCCCTGGAAAGGCAGACCCGGGGCCCCTCCATCCCCGCTGCCACCACAGTGCCACTGAGCAATGGGCCCTGGTGAATATTTGTGGATGAACAAATGAATGATGGAATGAAAGGAGGAATCCCAGGCTAAGGCCCTCAGCTTTTACCCTGACAGTGATGAGGAGTCATGAAAAGGTTTTAAGGAAGGGAGAGGTGAGGGAAACTCACTGCGGGGAGGAGAGGGGATGGGGTCTCCCAGGGCGGGGCTAGGGCACCTGGTAGCGCCGGATGAGGGCCTCATTCTTCCGCCTAAGAGCCTCGATCCTCTTGTCCAACTCAGCATCCTTCTCCTCCTTCGATTTCAGATCCAGTGTGGCTGACTGAGAGGGCGGACAGATAAGAGGCTGAAAACCTTCACCCGCCCCAGGGTCTGCGAGTTGGGAACCTCTTCTCCCAAGCCCCCTGCCCCAAGGCTCAGATCTCAGAGACCCTACTTTTCTTCTCACCATTCCACTGGCAGGGTGGGCCCTGAGTCCCAGCAAACCTCCCCTGCGGAATCTGGACACAGCACTGGGGGCTCCTGAGGGCAGAGGGAACAAAAGGACTAAGGTCAATGGCTCCACTCAGTCTCTTCCTCTCCTAGACTGGGGGCTCCTCAATTGCACACACACACCCTTCACTCCAAGAGAACTGTTGCCCTCACACACACACAAACCCCCTTCACTCCAAGGAACACACACACCCTTCATTCCAAGGGAAACACACACACACACACCCTTCACTCCAAGGGAATTCTCGCCCTCACTCCCAGCCCCTCTTCTTGAAGCCCCTCTTCTAGCCCACCCCCTACCAGGAAAAGTTTAGACTCAGTCCTCTCCAGAGGGTTTTGGACCCATCCATTTCCTATGTAAACAATGTAGTCACACAAACCCTGGGAAAGTTCTGGGCCTGCCCCACTCTTAGGGAAACATCCCACACTGCTCCCTTCAAAACGAAAATCCTAGTTCAGTCTCCACACCCCTGTGCTGGAAGTTTAAAACCCAGGCCTCTACCCCAAGAGAGCCTTAGGAAGAGCCTCTTCCACGACCTGCCGCAAGAAAGCCTGACTCGCTGTGCCCAACCTGGTGCTGCTCACATCCCGCTTAACAGTCTGCACCTGACTCTTCCCCAGGAACTTCAGCGACGTGTTATAACCCTACACTCAAAAATTAGTCAGAACCCCATTCCTATTCGCTGCCCCTACCCTCAGGGATATTAAAGCCCCGCCCCCCCCCCCCCCCCNCCCCCCGCCCCCCCCCCCCAGCACTCCCCAGAAGATTTCCTCCAACAGACCCAGGACCTCCTGGCGAGGCTTCCCGGGTCTGGCTCGGCCTCCCGGGTGAATACCCTCCCCGCCCAGGCGCAAACAAAACTGCCCCGCCCCCACGCGGCTTTCTAGGGAAAAGTTCCAGTCTTCACCCGGTCCCGAACGCCACAGCCCCGCCCCGAAAACAAGCAAACTTTCCGGCCCCGCCTTTCCCGCCAAACCTCCGACCCCGCCCACATGCGCGTCACTAATCCCACCCCCTTCCGGCGTCGGACCGCCCCGGCCAACTTCCTGACCCCACCCACAGGAGCCCCAGGCAGCAGTGTAAACCCGCCCCCTCCTCCTCACCTTCTGGCACCGGTCCCGCCCCCGGCTCGTCAGCCAACACTCTGGCCCCGCCTCCGATTTGCTGAGCCCAGCCTCTGGTCACGCCCCTGGCTCCGCCCCCGTCACGTCAGTATCTAGCCCCGTCCCCGGCGCCCCTAAATTCTGGCTCAGCGGCCGGGTTCCTGAGAAACTTTTTGGCTCCGCCCTACCGGCGCTTGGCCCCGCCCTCACCCTCCGGTCAGCCCCTGGCCCTGCCCCTGACTTCCTGGACCCACTTCCAGGACACGCGAAACTTCCCGGCCCCGCCCCTAGTCCGCTGGGTACTACTTGGCCCCGCCCCCAGCATAACTTTTTTCGGGCCCGCCCCAGCTGCACACCAAAGCTCCGGACGCGTCCGGAGCCCGGCCCACCCAGGCCCTGCCCCGCCAACGGCCCGCCCCCTCAGCACCCTTCTAGCTTCCCATGTGGGCGTCCAGTCCCCGCCCCCCGCGGAGTACTCTGACCCCGCCCCCGCGGGCGGCGGGCTACCCGCCAGCGCCCGCTCCCCCCCACGTGGGGCGTCAGGCCCCGCCCTCTCCGGGCGCGCTCCCGGCCCCCTCCCCCGGTCACCTGTCCCGGAGACCCCGCGGCGTCCGCGACTCCGGCTCCGTCGGCCTCCGCGTCTGCAGCTCCCTGGCCACGCGCGTCACTTCCTGCCTGCACCACGTGAAGAGGGGAACTAAAGCGGGTTACTTCCGGTTTTGCAGGCCTGTTTCCGGGAGCCTTAAAGGCGCGGCGCTCCCCACCCCAACACCCCCTCCTCCCACCCCTCTCCCCGGGTGGAGGCTGGAGTGGGTTGAGCAAGTGCACAGAGTGTTCTGCAAGCTTGTTCTACTGTCTTCTACCTGAATGACCTCCTTCCAGGGAAAGGAAACACCATCCTCTCTCTGGCCTCTACTTGCGTCTCCTCTCCTGGTTCCTATAAGTAGTTGCCAGGCGCTGGACTGACTCCTCGAAGCCTGACCTGCCAGCTTATGCTGGGGAGTGGGTTGGGGTTCCCCCACCCTCCTGCCAGTGAAACCTTACAGTTGTAGGAGCTCACAGTTTTCAACGGAAAGAATCTCTTCTTCATCCTCTGAATCAGCATTGAGTGCCAGCTCTGTACTGGGGGGATAGGGAAGTGGGGGTTAAGGTGATAGAACAAGGCAGACCCCGTCCCTGGACTCCTGAGGGAAGGCAGAAGTACATGTGAAATGACAGAAAACAGAACTGAGGGGGATGTCTTCAGAGTGAGACAAGGATAGTGTGAGAGGGGGTGGCTACAGGCAGGGAACACAGCCTGTGCAAAGGCCCCGTGGTGAGTGAACTTGGTGCATTCTAGGGAACTGGAAGATGCTCAGAGGAGGATCTTCAGGGTTTGGCTACAGAGTCAAGAGGGTTACATACATTAAACAGAGCTTAGACATAATTTACCTATTGTTACAAGTGATGATAAATGCTATGGAACATCCTTACAGGAGGTGATGACAGTTGTAAGTGGGCAGACCAGATTTCCTGAGATTTCTGATTAGTTTGTGGTTTAAAACATGGAAAGGGAATATACATGGCAATCCACTGCCCCTATATGGTTATCATTAACAGCCTTTCAGAGACCTTCTTATACATACAGTTTAATTCTTAAAATTCCCCAAGAATTCCTTGGTGGGCCAGTGGGTAGGACTGGGTGCTTTCACTGCTGGGGCCCACGTTCAATCTCTGACCAGGAACTAAGATCCCACAAGCCTCGAGGCACAGCCACAAAAAATAAATAGATAAATTAAAATTTTTCAAATCCCTACCAAAATCACTGCATCACCTGCTTCAGTTATGTATTCAATTGTCACCTCTTCTTAGAGGTCTTCCTTGAAACCACTCATTTGAAAATTTGAAACGGTAAACCTCTCATCCTTTTCTCTTTCAATTTTATTTTTCCATCTTACTGTTCTCCCTCTAAACTACCATGTTTCACTTTCTTCTCTTGTTCAGTCTCTATAAGTCATGTCTGACTGCAACCCCATGGACTGCAGCACCCCAGGTTTCCCTGCCCTTCACTATCTCCTGTAGTTTGCTGAAATTCATATCCATTGAATCAGTGATGCCATCCAACCATCTCATCCTCTGTCACCTTCTTCTCCTTCTGCCTTCAATCTTTCCCAGCATCAGGTTATTTTCCAATGAGTCAGTTCCTCAGATCAGGTGGCCGAAGAATTGGAGCTTCAGCATCAGGAACAGTCCTTCCAGTGAATACTGAAGGTTGATTTCCTGTAGGATTGACTCTTTACTGACTTTCTTCTCGACTATATTGTCTGTGTTATGTCCCCAGTACCTCCAACAGCGCTTCATACATGAGAGTCTCCCAAAACCTATTTGTTTAATGAATGAGTGATTTGGGGGGTGTGGTGGGGCGGAATTTAGATCTCCGACCAGGAACTGAACCCAACCCTTGGCAGTGAGATCGAGGAGTCCTAACCACTGGACCACCAGGGAAGTCCCTGACTGAATCTTGGCTAGTACTATTATTTTCTTCCTTGTTTATGAAACAAAACGTATGCACTGAAATTCTATACCTTGAAGTTAGCTGTGGATGGTTGACCATCTTTTAAACTGCCATGTGAAATTCTGTCTTACAGATGAGCCATAATTTAGTCCAACTGGTCTCACGGATGTTCCAGTTGTTTCCAACTGGGGAGGTTGCCAACAATACGGCATTGAATTTCTGTAGGCACATAGCTTGATGAGTACATGATCTGTGATCTTGCTCAAAAAAGGACTCCTAATGTCATGATTAGGCTGTTGACTCTGAAGCCAGAAGATCTGGCTTTGAATCCTGGCTCTGTCACTTAGCAAATGTGTAATCTTGGGCAACATAGAAAGGAAACTTCTCTGGCCTTCATCTTCTCCATCTGTAAATGGAGATCATAACACCATCCTACTGTTTGTTGTACAGAATTCAATTGATTCATGAATTAATCGACACCCAGTGCTTGGCCTGAAATAAAGTTCTCAATAAATGGAAACCATTCTTCTGGCTTCTAGGAAGGCAGATTGCTGAATCAGAGGTTAATTCCCATTTTTATTTTCCCGGGGGAAAAAAATGAGGAGAGGTGGACCCAGGGTATGCAGAGCCTGAAGTTTATACCAAGTTGGAAACCCTTCTGGAAAAAAAAGAGGAGGGAATTCCCTGGTGGTCCAGTGGTTAGGGCTTGGTGCTTTCACTGCTGGGGCCAGGGTTCAATCCCTAGTCGATGAATTAAAGTCCCACAGCCTTAAAAAAAATGTACAAGACTGCAAGGGCACCTCCCAGGGTGTTGGGAGAAGCTGTGGAAATGGAGGGACCCAAAGGCTTGCACTTCCTGCATTTCATAGGAGAGCCACCTCTGATGGTGGCCGCTCAGGAAAGACCTAGTACTCACTTCCACTTTTCCAGGCAGGGCAGGAGCGCACAGTCCTCTGGCAGCCTCACGGACAGGGCTATTCCCACTCTTTGATCTTTGCCAATATCATAGCCAAAGAGTCTGTCTCAGCGTAGTTTGAGTGGCCACTCTCTCTCTGATTAAAAAGTGAAATTTCAGGCTTCCCTGGTGGCTCTGTGGTAACGAATTCGCCTGCCAGTGCCGGACACACAGGTTCGATCCCTGATCCCGGAAGATCCCACACGCCTAGAGCAACTGAGCCCATGAACCGTGACTACTGAAGCCCACGCGCCCTAGAGCCCATGCTCCGCAACAAGAGAAGCCACTGCAATGAGAAGCCCGTGCTCCCCACAACTGAAGAAAAGCCCACGCAGCAACGAAGACCCAGCACAGCCAAAAATGGATTAATTATTTTTTAAAAGGGAAACTGAGCACTTTTGGTATGTCTACTGGGGATGAGAAGATGAGATGGAAGAGTGAGCCAGACCTTGAGAATCCCTCCTGGGGACATTCAGCATCTTCATCAGAACTCTGAGCAACGAAGGGAGTTCTTTATCATCTCCACTTTGCAAAGCAGAGCACAGAGACCCAGTAAGAACTCAAAGGTCCGCTAAGCTACCAGTGCCTGGGTCCCTGGCTGGAGCAAAGCCACGGGTTCAGGCCCCACGTGGTCTTAACCCCTTTGCTCCTTCCAGCCAAAGAGGTGAGTATTCTCACTCCCATTTTTTATTTTTATTAAAAAAATATTTTATTTAGTTTTATTTCTTTTGACTGCACTGCTGGGGGTTGTGGGATCTGAGCTCCATAGCCAGGGATTGAACCCACACCCCCTGCTATAGAAGCTCAGAGTCTTAACCACTGGACCATTAGAGACGTGTCTATTTTTTTTTTAATTTTTAATTGAAGTATAGTTGATTTACAATGTTGTGTTAGCTTCAGGTGAGCAAAATGATTCAGTCTGTGTATATATGTTGATATATTATAAAGTGGGTGCCCCTGGTGACTCAGATGGTAAAGAATCCACCTGCAATGCAGGAGACCCAGGTTCGATCCCTGGGTCAGGAAGATTCCTTGGAGAAGGGAATGGCAACCTTCCCTTCTGAACACAGGAGCCTGGTGGGCTGCAGTCCATGGGGTCACAGAGTTGGACACGACTAAAGCAGCCTAGCATAAGTGCTTATACATACGAGTCCTTTTCCAGACTCTTCCCCATTATAGGTTATTACAGAATACTGACTACAGTTCCCTGAGCCTACAGTAGGCCCTTGTTTATCGCTTTTATATGGAGCAGTGTGTTCACTCACATTTTAGACACGATGACTCAGCTGATGGTGCTGGCCCCCAGCCATCCACCTGTTCAGTGGCCCGCCTGGAATGTGAACCTGGGGCTGCCTGACTCCAGAGAGACAGTGAGGAGAACAAGGGATATCTTGGTTCTGAGACCAGGTTGTCTGGGTTCAAATCCCCGCCGGGCTACCCCAGTGGGCTACCAGGCGGGGGGTGTCCTAGGCTGAACAGTAGTACTTGATGAGTTGCCAAGTCATGTCCAACTGCGACCCCATGGACTGGAGCCCGCCAGGCTCCACTGTCCATGGGATTTCCCAGGCAAGAATACTGGAGCGGGTTGCCATTTCCTCCTCCAGGGGATCTTCCCAACCCAGGGATCAAACCTACGTCTCCTGCACTGCAGGCGGATTCTTTACCAGCCACCAAGGATCTTGTAGGCTAAATAGTGGTTTCCAAAGATACCCACCTTCTGATATCTGGAACCTGAGAACGTTATGTTTATGTGGCAAAAGGGACTTTGCTGATATGATCAAGTCAAGAATCCTGAGATGGAGAGATAAGCCTGCACCATCCACCATCAGGATGGACCCAGTGCCAATCACAAGGGTCCTTATAAGAAGGAAGCAGGATCTTCCCTGGTGGTCCAGTGGCTCAGACTCCACACTTTCAGTGGAGGAGGCCCAGGTTCAATCCTTGGTCAGGGAACTAGATCCCACATTACACAGGGGGTGACCAAGAAATTAATTACATTTTCCAAAGAAGAGAGAGTGAAGCAGAGGGGGATTTGACAAGGAAGAAGGCCACATGCCGATGAAGCAAGCTGCTCCACTGCTCGTACTGAAGAGGGAGGAAGGATCCAGAAATCAGAGAATGCACAGACTTCAGCTGGAACAGCAGCTGGAAACGGTCAGTGAGCTGATTCTCTCCTCAAGCCTCGAGAGGAGTGTAGTCTGGCCGAC